GGTCGCAATGGACGGCCGAATGCCGCTATCGGTTCCCAAGTCGTCGATGAACTGCTCGACAGCGCCGTCAGTGACCGTAACGATGGCCTCCACGGGAGCCCAACCGCGGAAGAAGATCTTCTCCGGCAATAGTAAGCAAAACAGAGCCGTCTTTAATATGAAGAACTTCTGGAGCGATAGTAACGGCCCGAAGAAGTCGTCGCTCGTGTCCTCGAAGACCAAGAACTCCATATTTGACGTTCAATACGTGTGGCGACCGAAGGCGGTGTCCGTCGACGTGACCACAGCTGACGGCAACGATCGCAAGAGTACGAGTCCTCTCGTGTCCGCTGCCATCACTCACGTGACCACCACTAAGACGACGACCACGTATTTGACGCCTACGACCACAGCGTCGGCCATCAAAAGCCCGACCAAAGCCTCGGCCCATACCGTGCGCTCGAAGTCCTCTTCGCCCGTCAAAGCGAGTCTCAAAGCAAGTGTCGATTCGTCGGCGTTTATCACCGCTAAACCAGCTGTCGATTACTCAACGCAGACGACGTACGCCACCCGACGCATGAAGGCTCGATCGGGCGCTCAGTTGTTGGACCCGTCGTCACCGCCGCCGCCATCAGCCAAGACATCGCCCGAAGTTGTGAAGCAAACGAAGCCAACGGTCGTCGAAGACAATCAATTATCTGTTGGCAGTGATAGCCGTGCGGAGAGTCCGGTGGAAGAGATGGACGCGGAGTCTGTGGTGTCCGAGACGTCTACAAACGGCCCGTTGACTCAATCCTCTGAGTCGCCGGCGTCACAGAAGGCACCGGTCATTGATTTGATGCCCGAGTCATCGCAACCCACAGATGAAACCGACTCTTTGGCCGTTACGACGACCACAACGGAGACGACCGACACAACCGCCACCTCAGAGACAACCACTCAAATCATATCCAAACCGAAGCGAAAGATCTTCTCGTCGGCCAACAAGAAGAACAGAGCGGTGTTTAGCGCTAAGAATTTCTGGACATCCGGTCCGTCCGAGTTTGACGGCGACGACTTCGGCGGCGAACCCAATGCCGACCCCTCGGCCGCCGCCACACAGTCTTCGTCGACGACAGCGAACGCTAACAACAAAAACAAAATGGCCGACGATTTTGACGCCGAAGACGATTACGTAGTGTTGCGTCGCGTGAAGAAAGCCCATCAGTGCCACGATTTGGGCGAAACGGAACAGTTTGACGACGATATCAAATACCATTTGAGTGGAATCGATGTCTCCAACTCAACCGCCATGCGATGTCTTAGGTATTACAGACCATACCATCGCTTAATTGGTGATAATATTAGCAATTGTTTAACCGTTTGGTTTTGTCGACAGTATATTAGGTTTGACACAACAGGCGATGCGACCGGAGTTTCGGATGCATTTGCGAGCGCACGACGATATGCCCCGAATCATCAGTGCCTTAATGGACGCGCCGACGGACGACAATCTGGCCCTCTGTACGGCGTGTCTCATGTTTGTCTACAGTCAGGACCGCTTGACAATGGATATCGACCCGAACGCACTCTCGTTGATGCTTCAGCTCCTGGAGACCCGAAGCGACGAATGCAATGCCGTCGACCTTAAGACCAAAAACAAAGTGAAGGACTTATGCGAGCAAATGAAGAAGAAGGACATTCCGGTCGCCAAATACCTTAAACTCTCTGACATTACTGTAAGTGTTTGAATGATAATGATTTGAGTCTTATTTAATTCTCATATTTGTTGTTGATTTAAAGGCCGGAACCCTCGCTATGGAGACGCTGTTAGGGTTGACATCGAAACGGGCCGGCGATTGGTTTAAGGAAGAGCTCCGGCGTATTAAAGGCATTGACTTTATTATGGATACTGTCCTCCGGTGCTCAGAGTTTAACGATGACGAGGGCTTTATGGTTAAGATTGATCGGTGTATGCATGTCCTCGAAAATGTATGCATACATTACAACACATTATGTTTTAATTTTATTCATAGACTAATTATTTGTATGTTTTGAATCCGATGTTTAGGTGACACTAAATAACTTAGAAAATCAAGAATATATTCTAAAGTATAGAGAGGGCCTCTTCATCAACACATCCATACAATTACTTCATTCGTGTAAATATCGTATACTTTTATCCAATGATTCCAAAGTGTTTTTGTCGGCGTTTTTCTCCATTTTACGCGTTTTAACACATCTCACGTCAGAAAGTGGTATTTAAAACAGCATTTATTTTTGTTTGAAATAGTTTTGATTAATTTGTGGATTGGATTTAACTCGCGTTTTGTTGTGTTATCTGTTTGTTTAGCCGACGGCTGTCTTATAATCGGTTCATACGAAGGAATAATCGATTTACTGTTGGAATCAATAGTGGAATTGCCGTCATTTATAATGTCTGACCAGCGTTTCGATCTAATGGTTATACTTCTGTGCCTTTGCATCAATTTAGTCGAGTTTTGTCCACAAATGCGTGATTTAGTGGTTACCAGTAATTCAAAGCTCAAGAATCTGATTGAATTGCTATTCAAACGCATAGAAGAGGCCGTACGGACAGAGCAACAGACCGATGAACTGCTCGAGTCTCACGAAAAAGTTCAAATGACCGAAGCTATGAGGGACTCACTCTTACACACAAGTATGTCTTGTTCTCGCCATACATGTGCTGTCATAGACTCTATGCCATTGAACCTAATGTTTGTTTTTGTGTTTTGCAGTGCTTTCACAGTCGGGTAATCATATGGAGCACAGTATAATTGCCGCCTGCATTGCTCTACTGCTGGGCTGTACAATACAGGACAACATGCGATACACAAATACCGTGAGGTCTAATCTGCCGAACCAGTCGTTTGATCCGTTGGTCGAAGTGCTTCAAAAGCTCAGAGATTTTGCATATTTAGCTGTGAGTATAGTTTTCATAACGTTTATGTGTTTTTATTCACTTTTGATTGCATTTTAATTACGGGTTTTTTGTTCACTTTTAAGGATATAATGACCAAAAAAGGCAAAGAAAGAGTCGACCGAATCATTCAAGTGTTCAAATCGTCTTAACATTAATTGACATTTTTAACTGTGAATTCATTTTTTATGAATTATATTAATTAAAGCTAAATGACAACAAATGGATTTTCTCTCTTTACAAAATAGGCTAAAATTAATCAATTATTTCATTACAGACTTAATTTATTATATATTTTTATTTGTAACAAGAAATGCATATAAAATATTATTTTAACGTTTCGTTCATCAAAACAGAGTTATTGTATAAAATTTGCACAATTTTTAACACAACATTTTTACTGTAAATTATTTTGAATCAAATCCTAAGACAAAACCCAATTTAGCTTTAATTTTGTTAATTATTTTTATGAACTTTAATTACAAAACAAACAAAACTCATTCTTAAATGACAAATATTTCTCATCATTTTTATCGTTTACTATTATTCTCTAAAAATTAATTATTTCAATAAAAAGTATGTTTTATTTAAACTAAAGCATTCAATTCATCTCTCTCTCTCTCTCTCTCTCTCTCTCTCTCTCTAGCAATAAATCAAATTTATGCTATAATTTATAAAAATAAAACAAATCAAATCAA